TAACTGCGGAGATTGACACTGTTGGATGGGCTTGTTTGACCCATGGGACTCAGCTGGTCAGCGGATGCAAAAGTTGAAAAGCAACGGTGGCAGTGCCGCACCTATGCTGAAATGCTCACGCTAATAAATGATTGTTTCCATCAGCAACACACGGAGGCTTGTTTGACAAAGGGTCCGTAACACAGAGCGATAAACCAAAGCTGACAGCGTCAGATTCTTGTGAGTCTGCGACAGTCTCTCTGGCGCCAAGTGCAGAAATAACTCACGTTGTTGAATACGTTAAAGCATCGAGTACTGCGACCATGGCCACGTATCTTGAGCAATCACTTTAATAAATTTAATTTTTTCCTGAAAATCGTATTTATTTTGGAGCATGCTCATTTAATGAACGAATATGTCTTAGAATTAAAGCTGCCGGCTTAACGTTGCTCAGAGACGATGGGAACATCACCCGGTACACGATGATTAAACATTCAAGAGATAAACTGAATGAGAATAATGAATGTCGTTGGAAGCTGCTTGGGAAAGCGATTAAAAATTGGAAGACTGATGGGCTGAATAGCGTCATGCATCAACTGGTAAGCGTGGAAAAGAATGCACTGTACACAAAACTGGTTGTGGATGCGCTGCCGAAACTGACTTACCGAGTAATGTGCTAATCCTGTTTTTTAATTGTTTTTCCGCACATGAGTTAGAGTTATATTAGAGTTTGGATTCACTACTTACTCGTAAAGGAAAAGTAAAAATTTCTAAAGAGTCAGTATGTCCGTGAACAGTGCATCATATTTTTTTGACGTTCCTCTAGGGAGCGATTACTGAACTCGAGATCTGCTAATGTCATTCTTGGACTCATTCATCAAATCAATCTGTAAGTGACAGTCAGTAGATCGAAACTTAGTCTATAAGTATCTGATCCGTTCACTTAAACAAAAGATCGCAATGAGGTATGGCGTTTTAAAATTTCAGCCATGTTAATCATATTAGAGGAATTGCTTTTTTTCGAATTGCTTCGTAGTTATAATTGTGTTCGATCAATGGAAAAGAAAGTGATGCCTTTCATCTTCTTTCCTCAATCAATGACTTGTAATGTCAAGTAACGTCGCATTTTTGCACCAGACTTTTAGGTATTGCACATTTATTGCAATGTTGATTATTTTGAATTGTTTCACGGTAACTGTAGTCTCTCTTCAGTTTTTCCAAAAACACCTGATCTTCAGGTTAGGCTTCCCCGTAGTCGTTTGCATTGTCGTACCGTTTCCGCATAGTACTAAATATCAGGTCCATTAACATTGAAAAATGCCACAGTTTTCAGTCCTGGATGCTATTTCCTGTCAACGTTGAGCTGGAAAGTGCATTAAAATCTGATCGATTTCCTGCCCGATCTTCGAAACTCCTAACGGTTACTGTGGCATGGCATTTCGTCTGTTCAACTCACACGACATAGACGAATAATTTCTAGATGATCCATCACGGGCAACAGTCAAGAGAAGCTTTAAGTGACCATCATTGTGATCCATTTTTACTATCACGCACATTTTCCTCACCGAAACCCTTCTGCATGGCAAGCAAATTGCGACATTGTAAAATTGTACGACGGATACAAAAATGTCTTTCATAAATCCTGTTATAGCAGCATGTTAATTATCATGATAATCATGTCAATATGATTAATTATCATCCGCTGCAACAAACATGGAGGAGCTGTTAGCTAAAATTTTGAAAATTCGTCGATAACTTGGAGTCACGGATCTCGTATTGAGACAAAATTACAAAAAAAGCGGTTCCTCGTTTAGAAACGGACCAATTATTGATTTTTCCTGTGGGAACACACAGCGAGTATCTTTTCAGCAGATAAACACGTGAAACATGCGTGGCCTGCAGACAGACATGTCATGGAATTTTGTGCTTAAACACCCCATAGATCACATAAAACTATTTCCTGTTCACCCCAATTTTCAATTGGACACCAATGCGCCAATGTTATGAAAAACTTCAAGGAATTCAGCATTTTTGGATTACAGTTATTTCCTCATGTGATCATTTCAGTATTACAGCTAGACCGGTTAGGCAAATCAAATTCACGTATCGGCTTTAACTGGAATGTTGTACAACGTTATAACATTGAGTTCGAATTTAGAGATATTGATCGATATATCACATTACGCATTCAGAAGGATAGCGCTGTTGGAGCGGTCACTTGGGCTTCAGCTGAGGACCATTTGTTTCGATTATTCCGCTG